TAGACCCTACCTACGAGGATTATGTGCTCTCTACCTTAGGATGTTGTGGCTCATTGGATGGGCTGAGGAAAATGTGTCAGAAAACAATGAGAAAAGAGTTAGTGCCTATATGTGGAGAACTACTGAGCTGGGTGTTCAATGGGAGAGAGCTTGGTGAATTTGTTAGAATAGTCCTGTGTAGGCAAAAATTAGGCAGGATACTAGTGCCTCTACCTGTAGTGATTCTACTTATCTGCACTAGGAGCACAACTAGAGTCTTGCTTTTTTAAGAGTATCCTCAGATCTTTCAGAGCTTCACAAGAGTAGCTTTCTCCTTTTGGATGGCCTTTTTCCTCAGACACTTCAGGTGGAGCTGGCTTTGTCCTAGAAAGGTGAATGCAGCTCTCTATTTCTGCTACCTTTGCTGTAGTGCATGTGGCAAGAATCACTGAAAAGGGGCCCTTCCATTTTGGTTTCAACTGGTCTGCAGGACCCCCTTCTTTCAAAGTTTTGAGATAGAAAAGGATTCCCATGTAACATCTCAAATGAACTCATATCTAGTCCAGTTTGAGGGCTATTTAAATCCCTATAAGGGCTATTGGCAATAATCAAAGCCAAGGCTCTGAGGTCTCTTGGCAAAGTTTTGCCAGAGTTCACTCTAGAGTCTGGCTGCCTCTCTTGGACTGAGGTCTCCATGCTGGTATTTTATTCCCAACCCCCTGAGGTATCTGAGAGGTAAAAGAAGACCCACTGCCACTCTGAAAGAACTGGAGTAGTCCAAACCTGGGGATGATTTCTCCCAACCTTTGAGTGCAAAAATCCTCCAAGGCCTTTGAAAGGGAAAATCCCATTTCAATGGAAAAATAACAACATGCTTGGACAGTTCTCCCACAGGGCATTAGAGATAGCCCTCCCCTTTTGGCTCTAAGTGGGAATCTGAGTGGAGGGGAATAGAAAAGAAAGTATCTTTGAGGTCTAAGACTTGAGAAACAATCTGTGTCTCCTGGAATCTGGGCCAGAACTGCATGTGGATCTGCCACCAGAGGGAGGACTGAGATTACAGCCTTGTTACTGAGGTGGAGGTCTTGTACTGCCCTGTTGTTGCTGGGTAGTTCCTTTAAAAATGGCTTGCCAAACAACAGTATTCCAGGTTCTTCTTGTCTCAAAAAAAGGTGGAATAGACAAGGCAAAAATGGTGCCAAAAGTTTATTTGAAAATGAGGGGTGAAGAAGTAAGGAAAGAACTAGCTCTGAAGATCAAACAAAGAGAAAAAAGATAAAGAGAACAAAATAAAAGTACACCCTGGGTCCAGGAGACCCAGGATGGACTACTGTGAGGAGTCACGACAGTGAGCTTTTTGTGATGTCTGCTCTTTTTTTATGTGATCCACATCTGGTGGGAGCTAGTGAGAAGTTCTACAGAAGGGGTCCTGAAAATCATCTGGCACCTCCTGGGGTCTCATAATTGACAGGTCCCACCCACTCCTCCAGCCAGCTTTGCCACACTCTACCTCCAATGTCACTGTATTCTCCCAAAGGCTTTTTGCTACAGGGAGAATGGGAGTATTGCAAGGGGAAATAACATCAATCTTCCACTAGCACTTTCAAAAAAGGAAGTAAAGGGAACACTTCCTTTATCATTTTATGATATCAGCTGTATCCTGATAAGAAAAACAGTAAAGAATATAAAACTCCCAGCACTCAGGAGGCTGAGGCAACAGGATCTCTGTGAGTTTGAAGCCATCCTGTCCTTACAGGTGAATTCAAGGCCGTCCTGAACCACATAGCAAGGCCCTGTCTCAAAAAAAAAAAAAAACAACACAGACTAATACCTCTCATGAACATAAATCTTCAGTAAAACATTAGCAAATAAGCTCCTTCCTGGAGCTCTGGCTGAGGCTGACTGTGTGCTACAGACTATGTCCAGAGAGTCTGCATTTAAAGGGGCATGGAAAGACTGTGCTGGGACTCACCAGCATTTCCTTCTGGATGCTCTGATGCTGTGAAGCCTGGGGTTCTGAGGTCAGGAGATATGAGTGATTTCAGTGAAGAATTGAAAAGGCCTAGGTCAGAGGATGACCAAGTGGAAACATCTAGAGTCTCTGTTACAGGAATGTACTTTCTGTGGCTTCAGAAGCATCTAGATAGGGAAAAAGTAGCAACTAGAGGGAAAAAGAAGGACTTTGCTCAGACCACAGGTGCTTGTTTAAGTTTCATCCAGGAGGCCCTGCTGAGCACCAGTGGCAGCAGGCCGCAGAGTACATGCTCAGCTTCCTGCAGATCCTGGAGAATTTCGACAGCAGCAAGAGGCAGATGGCACCCAAGTACTGAGGATCAAACTCAGGACCTTGTGCTTGCCAGGCAGGTACAGTATCACTGAGCTACATCTCTGGCCCTGTTCTTTGTTTTCTTAACAGTTTTATCAAGACAATTTACAAGCACATCATGCAGTTCACCCTCTGAAAGTGTAGTTTAACTTTCTAAATGTTTTCACTGAATTGTGCAACCCATAATACTACTATCTAAATTTAGGATGTTTTTGTCTTCTGCAAAAACAAACCTTGTAAGGGCCAGGGATTTAGCTCAGTGGTTTTGCTGCCAGCTGCACAAGCACAAGGACCTGAGTTCAATTCTCGGTACCAAAAAAAACCAAACCCTTTACTCACTTGCAGTCTTTGTACATTCCTCCCTGCAATCCTGGTAGCCACTAACCTGCTACTTCCTGTGCTGGACATTTCAGGTGAGTGGAGTCATATATGTGGCCTTTGTGAATGGCTTCACCGTACTCATGTTGTAGTGTGTATTAGTACTTCATTCCTTTTTATTGCCAAGTAATAGTCCATTATATGGGTATGCTGTACTACATTTTATGAATCCATCTGATGTTAGATATTTGGATTGTTTTGTCTTATGAATAAGGCTTCTGTGACCATTCATGGACAAGTTTGTGTATGGACATTTGTTTTCCTTTCTCTTGGGTGTGTCCCCAGGAGTGGAATTGTGGGTCATAAGGTAGCTAGTGCTGTGTTAACCTCCCTAGGAGCTGCCAGACTGTTTCCAAAGTGACTGATGTTTTAGATTACCCCCAGAAGTCCATGAGGGTCTGGTTTCTCTGTGTCCTTGCCAATAATGCTGTAATTTGGGATTATGGAAGTGGAATCTTGGTCTCTTTTTTGGACATGAAGATCTAATTATTATTTTACCAAAGAACTAATGAATATTTCATAGAAGCAATTAATTTAAAGTTTAATTTACCTTAAAGTTGGTATTATCAAAGTGCTTTAGAGAAGAAAAGGAATAAGAGAAATAGACATTTGTTCCACTGAAAAAGAAGACCTCCAGATTCTGTCACCAAAGTTTGTGTCTGAGGAGAAAATATCTTTATTAAAATTTGTCCAGTCTGATGAAAAAAAATTAGCAAATCAAACTCAGGAATATGTAAAAAGAATAATACATGTGCCTTTGTGGGGTTTATTCCAGGAATGCAGACTTGGTTTAATATCTGAGAAATCAGTGTAATTCAATACATGACAGCATAAAAGGGAAAAATCACAATCACATATGTATGATGTAAAAAAATTTCTCATCAAAGTATTTGGAATAGAAACAGATTTTCTCAGCTTTAAAAAGCATATCTATTTTTTAAAAACCTGTAGCTACTACACCTGGACAGAAAACTAAGCTGATAGAAAAAAGAATCATTAAAAAAGTAATTCCGAAATAGTAATAATAATAATAATAATAATCCTAGTGCTTTAAAAGAACAAAACCTTATGATTTCAAAGTCATTTATGATACTAAATGCTCAAGTGAAGAGACAAGATTTGTACCTAAAAAGTCTTGTATTGTGAGAAGCTTGTAGTAGAGACAAAGGACAAATACTCAGGTGACAACAAATCACCTTAGCTACTTGACCCAGCAGATACACAGGTTGAGAGAGAGCCAGCCCCTGGGCAACAGGACTAGGGTCCCGTGAGGGCTGGTCCCTAGCTGGCCACTCCTCTCCATGCACCCCTCGGTTAATTAGGGACACTGAGGAAGCTGCCTTTGAACCAGATGTAAGAAGGTGATCGTGAAAGTAATGTATCTGCAAGAGGAGAGGAAACCTCTGGACCCTACGGACCCAAATTGATGGAGACAGTCAAAGAGCCTGGACACTGCAGGGCTGGCTGGGGGACACAGCAGGAGCTGAGTCACAAGGGTCCCCACGAGGGTCTTCACAGCCCTGCCAGAAGCCAACCCGGAAGCCATGCATCAGGGAGACAACAGAAATGGGAAAAGAGCACACAAAACATTTTAAAAAGATAAAGCACACAAGCACTGATGTAGAATTGGAAATAAGACACCAAAAACACAAAGACGAGAAAGGGATGTCAAAGAAGAGCAAAGATAGGAAAAAGATGTCCCAAAAGTGAAATCTGTCACCATGTAGAAGGAAAGACTTTTGAAATGTACTCAATGACTAAGTTGTTGAACTGGGTTTTGTTATAATGTGAAGAAACTCCAGTCTTGTAAATAATAGAAGACCCTGTGCTGTACCTAAAACACCACAGCTTGATTAGTTGGTTTTCATTTGCAAAGGCAGCAGGAACTTCTAGCATGAACTTTTGTACACATCTGTGAGTTACGATGGGTAACAGGAGCGGCTTTGCTGGAAGTGTTTATTGTTCCGTGAAGAGTTTACATTTGAATGTTTTTAATTTCCTGGGAAAAGCTGGTGTCATTTCTAAAATATCAGCACAATAATTTGCTGCATTCATTACACTCTCTCCATAAATTTCAAAAACAGAAACCCACAAAACCTATAGTTAACATTGTGCTTCATGGTGAAAGACTGAAATCAAGAGAAATGGAAGGATGTCCATTCCTGTTTATCATCGTGTTGAACTGTTTTCTCTGCTGTTGTATGAGTTAAAAGGTTCACATGCCTCATCCTTGGTATAACCCCCAGAGGTATTCCTTGCTTTTGTAAACCAATACATGTGCTAACATCTTTATACCAAAACTGGATGCATTACTCACCCTCACTTCCACATACGACTATCTTTCTTAATAAGTCTTGGAGGCCCGGGGATTTAGCTCTGTGGTTCCACCACGTGCCTCGAAAGCACAAGGTCCAGAATTCAATCCCTGGTACCAAAAAAAAAAGAAAAAAAAGCCCTGCAGATCATTCCATATCAGAACATATAGTGCCTCTGCATTAATTTGTACAGGTACATAATCTTCCAGCTTGAGAGGTAGTGTTATTTAAGCAATCTCCATTGTAATGATATTTGACTTGTTTCCAATCTTTTACTATCCTTTATTAAGACCTGCTAACTTTAAGGGACTTGGGAAGATTAGGGAACATAAGCATACTATAAAAGCATGAAATTAATATGTCATTAATAATTCCTTAGTGATGATATTTTAAATGGCTACTAATGAATGCAATGTTTCATGTTATCAGTCAGGGAAACAGACAAAACAAGAATGTGTGAGTGATGTCAATTTTAACAGCTCTCTGTCTAAACCATTAACCCTACCTACCTGGAAAAGCATTTTAGCACAGTGGAATTTTTTATCTTTATTCTTTTCTGGTAGAACTATGCCAGACACTGAACTCAATAAATAGCAATTAAGACTAGTACTGGAACCATTGTGAGGGGTATTAGTACTGTATCGTTAATGAAAGTAGTGACTGAAAAAGCGTGACTCTGGATTCATTAATAAAAGACCTAAAAGAATATAATGCCTCAGAGTTAGAACAATGAATCAAGTTACCTTTTACTTCTCTCTCTGAAAAAAAAAAGGGGGGAAAAGGTCAGCCTGAAAGGGGAAGAGATAACTCTGAACCAAGAGTGGAGATTGAGATATAAACCTGTATCCCATACTTTTCCCTTCTCTGTGGTTTTGTTTCCCACAGTTTCAGCTATCCACAGTTACCTATGGATGGTCCAAAAATATGAAATGGAAAATTCATAAATAAACAATTGATAGTTTTAAATAGCTTTTATAATAGTACATGGTCAGAAGTCGGATTTATCCCAGGGATGCAAGGATGGTTCAACATCCATAAATCAATAAATGTAATACACTATATTAACAGAGTCAAGGACAAAAACCACATGATCATCTCAATAGATGCAGAAAAAGCACTTGACAAAA